CAAGGTGTTGCACTGGGGTCAAGACAATCCCAGACATGAGTACAGACTGGGAGAAGAACTTACTGAGAGCAGCCCTGCGGAAAAGGACTTGGGGATGTTGATGGACAAGAAGCTGGACATGAGCCAGCAGTAGGTGCTTGTAGCCCAGGCCAACTGTATCCTGGACTGCAACAAAAGAGGAGTAGCCAGCAGGGTGAGGGAAGGGATTGTCCGCCTCCACTCTGCTATCATGAGGCCCTGACTGGAATACTGTGACCAAGCCTGGAGTCTCCAGTACCTCAGAAAAGATGTGGAGCTGCTAGAGTAGGTTCAGAGGAGAGTCATGAAGATGCTCAGAGAGCTGGAGCACCTCTCCTGCAAAGAAACCCTGAAGGAATTGGGCTTGTTTAGCTTGGAAAAAAGAAGGCTCTGGGTAGACCTCGTTATGGCCTTCCAATATTTGAAGGAATCTTACAAGCAGGAGGGGGACCAACACAGTCTGATGGTGACAGGACAAGAGGAATGGCTTTAAACTAAAAGAAGGGAGATTTAGGCTAAATTTTAAGAAGATTTTTACTCAGGGTGGTGAGCTGCTAGCACAGGCTGTCCACGGAGATTGTGGATGCCCCATCTGTGGAGGCACTCAAGACCAGGTTGGATGGGGCACTGAGCTCCTGATCCAACTGATTTAGTGGCTGGCGACCCTGCCCACAGCAGAGGGTTGGAACAAGATGATCTTTAAGGTTCCCTTCACCAAAGTCATTGCATGGTTCAATGGTTTTACAGTCCTCTGACCTCTCCTGGCCCTTAGCAAAGTGCAATACATTCATAGGATCAAGACAGAATCAACAACTTTGCTAAGGATTGAGATGCAGCTCCAAGTCCTTGGTAGTTAATGAAACTAACCACTGCACTAGGTCTATGGTGGGCACAGTTTCTCTTGAGGGATGGAGGGAGCACATAGCTGCATCTTCATCTCATCAGGAGCTACAGATCACTGTGCTTTGCCTGAGGACTACAATGGTTACTAAGGGCAGGGAGAGGCCTTAGATCCAAGCTTCTCCAGAATTATAGAATATGCTGAGTTGGAAGGGAACCACAAGGATCATTGAATCCAGCTCCTGGAACTCCAGCAGCTCAGTGCTGTACCCACTGCCCTGGGGAGCCTGTTCCATGCCCACTGCCCTCTGGTGAAGAACCCTTCCCTAACACACATGAGGGCTTTATGTCCTTTTTGTACTGTGGCACTCCAAACTATACCCAGTGTGGGAGGTGAGGCTGCACAGCACAGAGCAGAGCGGGACAACTCCTTCCCTTGCCTGGTGGAATTGTGGTGAGAAAGAAGACTGCAAGAAAGTTGAAGAGATCCTGAAAATGAGAAAATATGCGTATTACTTCATGCTAGACAAAGGTAAGAATGTGAGAGTTTCTCTCAGAAGCCCTAGAGAGCCCAGCTGTAGCCTTCTGAGGCCAGGACATAAGGAGTCCTCATCTGGTTCCTGCTGGCTGCAGTCGTAGGGCCTTGTGAGAGACACCATTGCTTCTCCTTCCTCTCCCAGGTGCTGGAGGCTGCAGTCCTGCCAGACCAGGAATCACCTTTGGTTGCATGAGGATCAAGAACAACACAATTTCTCTTCGAGGAAAAACACTTGCCAGAAGGACTTGGGAAGGGGCTTTTTTGAAGAATACAAGAGTGGACGCAACCTTTCTGGCTGGTGAGGGCTAGATGACAGTGCCCAGCAAATAACTCTTAAAAACTCACTTACCCCCTATTTTACCTTATTTGTTTTCTCTAGTAAAAATTTTCACCTGCCATGTCCTTTTT